GCTACATTCAGCTGACTTACTAAACGACGACATACACGAAAGCCCAACCTGGTTGCATACAACTTTTATTACCCTTTAAAATTAAGAAAATAACTAAAAAATAGCAGAGAGAAAGCAATCGAATTGATTTTACCTTATTTTCAAGCCGCAGTTGGGCATCTTTTGCTGAGAAGTGCACTATAAAGCCTGCGTTTATTATGTTGTTAAATTGCTACAGCAGATGGACTTCGCTTCGTGTATTAATTTTACTAACAGAAGCGAAGACGCGAGCTCCAGTTGCGAAGAAAATGACAAGATCGTGGAAAACGAGCTTTATTCGCCGGGCGTTTCGGATACTCACTCGAATCCATCGTCAGAGATCGTCAGATAATAACATTGGATTGGTTAAGTGTTATAGTACATATGGGATGTAGATACTGCGCCTGTAGTGGTCTGTCAGACTCCCAGCTCCCGAATACATCGTGGATAGTAGCAGGCTATGGGCTAACGGTCTTACTGGCCAGATGTTGCGGAATGCAGTTGTGATGCCGTTGCTTTGCGCTTGGGTGCCTGTCAAAACTATTGAATCCCACCGTCATCGCAAGTAATTGTGTGTGTTGCGGGGATGCACGTAGTCGAGTGGCCAACGGCCAGGATTCGTCATTTGTGTGGGCTATTGGGCAATTTGGCTCGCCGAAACTAGCACCAAAAACAGTCCTTTTTTGCCCGTTCTTCACGTTGCCCAATACTTTGCCTCGCAGAGTCTTAGACGTATATGAAGCGAGGAGGTCGTTACGCTTGTTGATTGATCGCGGACCAGAAAACTATGACTCGAATAGTTCGCGGGTCACGCAGTGGTCGCCTCTAGCGGGCATGAAAGCCTCATCGAACTTGAATGTCTGTTCGAGTCCTGTTGAGTGAACCGTTATGTGGGAGTTGGTATTGTTTGTCATAACTGTTGCCGCGTGTTTAGCCATTCGCATTCAAAATACTCTTCCTGTGTATCCAACGTTTTTGTTCAGCGCACAACTACACTTAACGCTGTGAACGCCTCCAGGTGTTTCTTGCCATGGCAGTGAGCATTTCGGCCTCATGATCTGGCATCTTATGGTCGCTTCCGGCCAGCGTGCAAATCTAACTTCAAGGGGTGTGAGAAGGCAACTGAAATGTGGGCCGGTCAGAGTTTGTTTCTCATCCCCTTTGCACAGGCATTGGTTGACGTAGTTGTGCGGGTAGCTATTCGTTCGAAGCATCTATTTGGTTCTTCTTTTTATTTTTCTCAAATATTTATATGAGACTTCGGTCCTATCTTTAAAAGGCTTGTTTAGACTTGTCGAGTCCACCTTAGCGCATTGAGTGCTAAGGATATTGAAAAAACGAAACCTTAGAACTGGAGTATATACTAGAAAGCGTATTCTAATTTCTGGGGACCCCACCGATGGGTCGACACCCTCGTTACTGTCTCGTGCAGATGTTCAAAAACTTATTAGATGTAAATATCTGAGTCTTCAGTTAGTTTGTTTAATTTAGTTAATGGCAAATGCATGCAGTGACTAGGCGCCATTCAAAAGAGGTTATAAATAAACAGTGTTCTTACAATTACCTTAGAACGAAAATCAATCCTTACTCTCTAACATACTCCTAAAGAAACCTATAATCTCACCAATCCTAAGCCTAACACAAAGTGGGACCACCTTTACTAAGAGGAACTAATAACACTGCCCTACTGCAAATAGTGTAAATAACCTAACGTAAGGAGGTTTGGCAGTACAGATTTTGCCCGGCCATTGATTTGCTTCTTTCTGTTCATCCTAAAGTTTCCTGTGTTAAGTATTAAAACCAGGAATCCTTCTTGTATGATATTCACCTAATACCCTTTAAAATAGTGCACTTCGTTTTTTTCCAAACCAGATCCAAGATGCACTTCGAGAACGCCGAAAACGTGTATTCCGAGATCCTCCAGTGATTCGAGCACCTGCGAAGGCTCTCCTTCTGAATGGGATACACATATCACCGATTTGGTCGGATGATTCACAAACTAAAAGACCTACTCATTCTGGAAGCTC